GTTATCAATACTATAAGGTCCTTATGCAGTCCACACATACAGATTTCATAATAAAATAATATAAAATCAATATAATTTTATCAATTTTTTGATCCTTAATTTTTAGGGGTACATGGTAACCTGTTAGAATGCCCAAGGCCAAGGTGTACAGAGGAACAAAAAGGTTGGGAATCTCTGCTCCAGAACATGTAAGCGTGGGATGATTTAATCAGGATTAACGGAGTCTCAATATTTGACACTTGTATGCAAAATAAGCCTCATAAAAGATTAATTCCATGTGCTTTCCATTATAATCCGTCAGATGGAAAGAAAACGGCTGATAGAAGTCAAGGTAAACAGCAAAAAATACACGTATGTTATCCTCAATATTCTATACATAGATATAAGACTTAGATTAGGTGGAACGATTAATTTCTATTTAAGATTTTCAACTAAAAGCACTGTCTGATAAATATTTTTTTTATAAATGTCAGTAACAAAATAATAAATGTAATCAATTATAAAAAAATGCATTTTTATTGTTGTAGATCAAAATAATTTTGTTTACGTGACCAGTTCTCGACATTTTCTGTGCAGCTGCATCTGGCTCGAACTATTTCGAGATCTTTGACAGGAATGAAAAAAAAATTCAAATATTGAAAGTCAGTCAGATGCTGTTTTAAAAATTTTGAAAGAATATAAAATATCAGATTCTATATATATATGTAAATATTTATCGGTGATACAGACTAATAATAATAATAACTAAAACACAATTGTTTCGAATTAAAATAAATACTAAGTCTTCAAATATTTGGAATTATGAAATAAGTCGCGAAACGTAAAAATCCAGGAGGCCTGAGTTAAGAATCGAAATCTTAGAGATTTTCCGTTACACATTTTGTTCCGTAAAAAATGGCGATTATTATGTTTTTTCCTGAGTAAGTGGGGCTATTAGGCCTACTCCCTTCTGTCATTACAGTTTTTGTAGAAATCTTGCACAGTTACTTTTCGTATATAGGAATATTGTCTGTAAGGATAAATGGTAAGCTTGTTTAATTTTTGGAAATTGCTGTAACGGTCTTGTCATTTTGTATCAATTGAAGCCGATAAAACCACGCCAATGCGTCAAAATTTCCATACGTTAGTCGTAGTATATACATTTGAGATAATTATTTTCAGGAAATGGTACTGAATGTTTAATTTTCTCGTAGTCGAACATTCTTTTCGTATGCTACAACCATTGTTTATTTTGTTGTTTAAATGCAAAATTTTGTACTTTGTATAAACTTTTACTTTTAACATAAATTTTAAGTATATCTACATTAGGGACTTTGTAGCAATATGTAATTTCATCAGTATTATTAGTCTCAAAATGGATTCCTCGTCATCGAATTTCAAGTAATACTTTATAAATACTGGTTGGGGGTACCTTTTAAGGAAGCAAAAACTGTATAAAGAATAGTATTATATAATGTTCTTCTTCCTTCCTTTTTTTATATTAACTCCCTAATGACCTCATTAGATACTAATTGCATACCCTTCATTGTGGAAGGTAGTAATTGACTCATTTAACTGATTAAAGTACTTGTGTCTTCAGATTCAAAGCGAAGGGTCTATAAAAAATAGAAAATGTGCCCCTTTTCAGGGTGTTTCTTATTCCCCTTCTTGTGCAAAATTCTAAAATAAAATAGCCCGTGTACATCGTAGGACACATGGGCGCCCGCAGGAAGTAGCAAGGAGGGTCAATTGACCCCTCCCTGGATTTTCAAAAAGAAAAAATTACTAGATAAGTAAAATTATTCTTCTATGTTACTGGAAAATCATAAGGTATTTGTAAATACAATGGTATTAACAACAGTATGATTAGTATCGAAATTATTTTTATTTATACAGTAATTTAGAAGATATTTTAATCGAATCATAGTTTTATATTTATTCAGCCCGTGCCAGAAAAATGGCGATTTCCAGTCTTCCGTAGAAGAAAACTATTACGATTTCACAATTTTTATAAACTTGAGTTACTTGACCCCCCTAATTTTTTTTCTGATGGCGCCCTTGGTAGGACAATTTGTAGTTACCATATGAAACATTACGGTAATCGAGACAGCCAACTCTGGTAATGGATGCTAACACACGTAAATTGGGTCATCTTTACAGTCAACACAAAATTAAAGAGAAAGTTGAAAAAATAAAAGAATCGAAAAATAACCACAGGTAAATGAACATGTCATGTAGGTGTATTACTACGGTAGCGCTTGTTTGATATTATTTGTTACCCCTTTAATTGGTACTGAATGAAGTGGTTTGAATTTTCAGAGAGTCAGTATACCACATCGTACAGCACGTGGTCACTTTTAGCACTCTTGGATGTTGAAGGTCGTGTTCACACTAGCAGAGCAGAGCTTTCTGCCAAGGTTACTAGCCAAGGACGACACAGTTCCCTGCCTTAGCACTTGTGGCTCCATCTACGCAAATGCTCAACAGTCGGGTGGGACATGGAAAAGTATCACCAGTTGGAATGTGCAGTTTATGAAGTAGCTGGTCATAAATAAAGAGTTCACTAACAGTGATCATTTTTGTTATCAGTTGCGAAGCTACTAGAGAATAGTTTGCCCTTTTAGTTTCGATTTAAGTTGTATATAGACTAAAACTTTCGCACAAACTAAAGATTAATTGAACAGTAGGTAAATATACTGCAGTGAAGTGTAATCTGAAATATAGTTTATATCCACAATTACAGAACAGCAAATTTCGAGCACTATCGCGTCTCCTCTTCAGTCCGACTTTTGTTTATGAGAGAAACACACACATAACATGTTTTACAATGGAAGTTCGAATATGTTTCAAGGGTTCAGCTTAAAGTGACCATCAGATGTGTTTGAAGTTTGGCAGCCTTATGATTAGCGAACTTTTCACAATTCTTCTTTTGACATAACTTATTGTTTTATGCTTTATTTTGGCTGATTTCAAATTGACTTTATAATCAAGATTCCTCACGTATAGGAAAATAGCATTATATATTAAACCATTGTTAACATTCTTCTGCGAGTCTGATATCTATATTTTTACCTGTTTCACCAACATAATCTTTTTCGCAGGATTCTGTGTAAAGTTTTTCGCAAGTTTCCATAAAAAAATTTTACGTAATAGTGGATCTTTAGTTTGTTTGTTTGTTTGTAATCAAGCACAAAGCTACACATTGGGCTATCTGTGCTCTGCCCATTACGCGTATCGAAACCCGGTTTCTAGCGTTGTAAGTCCGCAGACATACCGTTGTGTCAAATAGGGTACCACATTTCCAGAGTGACACTGTAACAGTCCTGAAACAGTTTACATTACAACAACACACCTTTTACCATTTGCTAATTAATCTCATATTTATTGTATCGCATTGAAAACCACAGACAAAATTTGTTAAAATCTTAATTAAAATAATAACAATAAATGAAATAAAGAACTTGTCTAAGTTGTCTTGAAATTACTCAAGGAAAAATGTTGCTATTTCGTGTTGTTTTTTTGTTTGTTTTTCGCGGCTCGGCAGATCTTCAAATCTCTTCCTGCAGCTGCCCAATGACAGGTTAGGCTAAGAGGACGTAGCAGAAGGGAAGGAAACACTGTACCTTGTAATCTATCTTTGCCAGATGATTCTCTAAGTAAAAGTTACATGATAAACCGTACATATCAAATTCACACTGAGGTACAGAGTAACAGAGATAATTTACCATTTTTTCTGTTTCTGATTGGGACGAAAATAATAAGGCTAAAAACTGGAACGATCTCAGGTTTTCTGGGATATCTGGTAACCCTATTTTTGAAAGATTAATTTGATTGATAGTCGTTAATAATACTATATTTATTAACTAGATGGAGTGCCCGTCCCCTGGAGGGAAGTTATGTAAATTTATGATTAATGAAAGGTTATCTTAGGACATGAAAAGTTGCTTCCCTTATATGTAATTGTAAAAAATGCAAAAATGACCATAAAAACTGCAAACAATAAAGAGTCCCCTTTTGCAACTGTCATAAATGTATTTGATGAAACAGTGATGAAATCAACTAATGGATGAATGGCTAAATTTTGTCATTTTTATTCAGGTGGGGGAGACATTCAACTTTGGTAGTTTTTTAAAACGAAAAAGAAGTCCCAACAAAAATGTACTGGTTTGAAGTTTGAAGGTTAACCTGTTGATAAAGATTTCGTATCTTCAGTGTGGAAGGACTGTAGTTCTTGTAGTGCTATCTTGATAACCTTTGTTCTCTTGTGGTCTCGTTGAAGATTTAAAGGTGTTAGATGAAAAACCCGATTTTTCTTTCTTCTTTGGAACTTGAAGATACTTGTTTTTTCTTGAAGGTTGTGAATTTTCAAACGAATTTGAACGTATCTGCTTTTGTGACCAACCATCTGGGTATATGTCACCCCAGGCCCGATAGCCAAAAGGACCAGCTTCATATTGAACGAGACGGAGTTCGCCATAGGGGTCTGTGTAACCATAGCGACCTCGCACTATTCCGTTTTCATCCCGCTGTTCATGATGAAACGAATGTGCTCCAAAGAGCCCTGTGTCGTATCCGAAGTTGTACGTTCCTCTGTCTGTTTGGGAATGATATTGGATGGGATAACGTACATTATTAACAGCTCGAAGTGTAGTAGAAGTAAGTAACTCCAGCAGTAAAATGTACAAATACCCCTTAAAATAAAATAAAATACATTAATCACGATTTAATATTAGAAAATAAGGATGTCTCTGCTTTCTCACATTTTTTTTTATGTTTAAAATCTAAAAAATAACTTAATTTTCTTACGATGAATAAAAAAAGCGCAAAATTATGTTTCTTACTCATACCTACACGTCTCCATAATTGGGAGAATATGAATGGCCAGGGGGAAGTGAAATTGTGCAAGTAGCTTATGTCAATAATGACGTTAAAAATAATTGAACATTAGTTCTCAGTTTATGTTAATAATGACGTTAAAAATAGTTGAACATTAGTGCTCAGCTTATGTTGATAATCACGTTAAAAATAGTTGATCATTAGTGCTCAGCGTATGTTGATAATCACGTTAAAAATAGTTGATCATTAGTGCTCAGCATATGTTGATAATGACGTTAAAAATAGTTGAACATTTGTACTCAGCTTATGTTGATAATGACGTTAAAAACAGTTGATCATTAGTGCTCAGGCTTATGTTGATAATGACGTTAAAAATAGTTGAACATTAGTGCTCAGCTTGTGTTGATAATGACGTTAAAAATAGTTGAACATTAGTGCTCAGCTTGTGTTGATAATGACGTTAAAAATAGTTGAACATTGGTGCTCAGCTTGTGTTGATAATGACGTTAAAAATAGTTGAACATTG